CTCTAAGCTATGGACAGTGCCTGAGGCAAACTAATCTAATGAACAAAACTATTTTTAAGTTTATAAATTTTATTTAAATTAACTAACACATGATCGAAGATGACTGATGAGCTACGTGATCTGTGATCAAAGTGCCTTCTTGAATTTAACCTACTTCACAGTTTAGATATAGACGACTGTGCCGGAGATGCACACTGTGACAACGGAGGGATCTGCGTAGACGGCGTCAACGGGTACCGTTGTATTTGTGCACCTGGATACGAGGGACGACACTGTGAAAAATGTAAGAGTCACTGTAATAAAAAAAAATGATTCATGATTCTACTCCCGCTTTACATCGATTGGCTGAGAATATTCTACTCAATTGAAGCTGCAGCAAATTTTTAGACTCTGGGATATGTAACGCCAGACTGTGTAATTATCGGGGAATATGCAGGGAAGAAGAGTCTGGCCCGACTTGCAAGTGTAACGAAGGCTACACCGGCAAGCACTGTAATTCAGGTACGTAGTTGTTGTGCACCTGTAAGTATTCAGAAGCGCTGTTTACCGGTAATTTGCCAACTTCTACCATTTACTGTATATTTTCCTTTCTCAGGGACAAACGTCTAACGTTACTGTTTGCAGAGGTTGCAACGGTACTCAGTGGAAGTTTTGATGTAACGACGTCTAGAGTGAGACTTGATTACACAGTTTGCTACGTTGCTTAGTTGCTTTAAAATTATGTTCAGCTTTTCGTGTTTAGAGTTCGTCAGACCTTGAAAATCAACCGGCTATAGCTAGAGTTTTTTTGGTTTAATAAATATTAGGTTATTCAGTATGACAAGTCAGCTACTGCTTTAACTGCAACAAAACTAGTAGGTTCGAGTAGTAATTTATTGGAGATTGAAAATTTGGGACTCTTATTCATGTCAGGTGAAGATCAGAATAAGTCACATATGTCCCTGAGCCAGCATTTCATTAAGCGAAAGGTAAAAAGGAGCATTTATCTCTGTTCACTTAGTAAAAGAAGAGTTAACAACGACAAAAAGTTGAGCCTATCACACGTAGCTGAGAGAGATCAATACCGCAATAGCATGCATAACATAAAAGTGTTTGATGAGATGGTCAACGCCGATTATATGGCAGCGCATGAATTTCCCATCAACTCAAATCAGTCAGAGAAACTAGTGATTTCTCCTGAACTTGCCATGAATGTAGACGAAACATGTTTGAATTGAAAATGAATGTCATTACACTCTTTATATGCTGAGGAGAGATGTGTCTGCTGGAATTAAAGCTGTCAGAGTCTGAATCACGGTTTTTTTGTGAGGCAATGGTTCAAGAGATTAAAAGCTGAAAATTGTTATATATTTCTCATTAAATAATAAGAAGGTATTCTAACACCAGCTATCCATCATCTGGACTTCAAACACAGAGATGATGGGTTAGAGAATGACATTTTTCAGGAATAGTTATTCTCAGAAATTATCCAGCAGTAAATCGTTCTGTGATGCTGATAATTTCAATCCCACAGCGTTACCAAAACTTAAAAATGCCCCTAGTCAGAAAGAAGAGCAGCTACACCAAGGCTTTGAAAATTCGTGAGGAATTGCGATTTTAAAATTGCATCTCAGTTATCGCCATAAAGAGTTAGACCCACTTAATGGCGATTCAGTTAGGTCCCTAGTCTCCAGCGACCTATCCCCAGCGTTAAGCGGTGTACGACTGTACCTCGATCACCAGCAGTAAATTGTGCTCGGTTTCATCTTCCTTTCTTCGAAATACAGTTCCATTTATTTGGCCTCTTTCCGGTTTGCCGGATCAGGTGACAAGTTACTTGCAGTATGTTGTCACCGTCGCACATGGGTACTTTCCTCATTTTCTTTATCGCTTTCAACTTAGTCATCTGTGATTAGGGGTGAACCAACGTCAGGGTTGTTGACTCCAGGCTTTCTGGTGTTACCTGAAAGCTGGCCAGGAACCGGTACATGTACATATGTTTTTTTGCAACCGTTTTTTCCTGTTCTGCAGAATTAAGTCGGCTTGTGAAGCAGTTTTGACCAGATGTTAGATCATATGGAATGTTGTGCGATTGCTGATTGTTTTGAATAGCTCTTTCATCGGGTTGCTCTCCGTTTTCCATGTCTTCTGTTTGACCATGTTGTCCATTTCAACTACGGATCAGCTTCTGCAAAGCATTTCAATTTACTGCTCCAATCGCATTCATCGAAGATATGCTTTTTCATTCAAACGTCTCGTTTTCGCTTTATTGCACCAGTTAGATCCAATGCAGTTTCTTTCGAACCTCTGACTACACCTTGAGAGTGCTCATCCACCTATTGGTCAGATGTCATTCGATTCTGATCATGAATTGTGAAATAACTCCTTCTCTAATGATCATGTCTCCTCACCACGTCGAGTGATTTGCTCATCGAAATGGCTTCGATGATTATTAGAACGTTTTTATGTCATCAGAGCTCCCTTGATCACTGCTTTAACTTCTTTAATCGCTACGGCGAGCCTGCCTCCAATCGCAAAGAGTTTCGACGGTCAAGAGTGGCTTTTCTTTCCTCTGAAGAATCTCTCCTGTCCGTCTGAAAACTTCTGCATTGAACTCACCAAGAGAGGTGTCATTTTCATCGTGCCGAGTGTTCTGGCCATCATCGAGGATTTGTGGGTAATCGCTAGCGCTGACGTAATCGCGCTGCCAACACCATGATCTGTCCTCATCCTTGTTCCATTTGCAGGTTCCGTATGTCAGCGTTTCTCCATAGGATTGTTTTGGTTATTTTCGTGAATTGCTCTCCCCCCTCCATCGTCGACTTCAGTAGTTTCACCTTTGCTGGAACGAAATCATCTCTCTCTTGCTCACGGCTTTTCCCTTTCCTTTTCCTTCCACCATTCTATCATTAACGTTATTCTTGACGATTTCACTCGAGTTTCGACGACTATGACGACGAGGCTGAATGCTTTCTGGAGCTGAGCGCTTCATGTGCTCAGAATCAATGTACCTGTAGCTTTTCTCGCTTCGACCTTCTCCCTCCTCCAATGAACTCGAACCTGCGGCGACCTCTGACTCTCCTTGCAACAAGGTCTTTCTCTGTGATCGTTTATGGATTTCTCCAAAATCAACATTCCAGCTCTGCCCTTAGCCTGTGTTCGATTTGAGATTGTCAGCCGAAGACACGAAACATAATTCTACGTTAGATGCAATGAAGTTAAAATTTCAAATACCTTCACAGACTTTGGCACAAGATTGGGAACGTTGGAAGCATTGTCTGACGCGTCTACCCCCGTGACCCAAAAGGAGAGGCGGTTATTGAAGACGAATGGATTCAAAAACTTTTTTATACCCGACTGAGTATCCAGATGCAGAAATGTTTTGCGGGTCGTACTTTATTTACGTCTTCGACCGTGGAACATATCTATTGACACAAACTGAAAAGCGTTAT